GTTTGAATTTATATTTAATATATAGTCTATCAAGTTTTTCAAACAATTTTTTTATAAAATTATCCAAATCATACGTATTTACTTGACACACCTTAACACAATTTACATGTTCGTTAGTGCTTTTAAATATCTGAATAATATATATCATCTTCGTATTATCTTATTAATTTTAAAGAATAGTTCAAATGTAATTTTTTGATATCTTAAATATCTTCATCTACCTCTCATAGTCGTTATTATCCGATTGATATATTTGTGTATCACTATGTATTAGATGAATTGTTGAATTTAACTATATTTGATTGAATTTCATGTTTTTGTTGTTGAATATGGCGGAATTTTTAAAAATATTAAATTGTGTTGGCAGAATTGCTGAACTTAGCTGAAAGTAGCTGAATAATTTCTGTTTGTTACCATTTACTGCCTTAATTTTATGTTTTTAATAGGAGTTAAAGGTACTTAAAGTTAAGAACAAACAAATCTTTTGTTAGTGCCTTTTTAAAATTAGAGAAGACTATTCTTTTTCTTTTTTCAATTCCAAAACATAGCGACGACTTTTACATTGTTTCAGCATTTAAAAAATAACTTCGAAAACAGCTAATAAGCGACAAGAGAATTGGACTTACTCAACTTGCCGTCACAAAGAAAAAAGAATGACTCAACTCATATTATAAGTATGCGTTCATTGTAAAAAATAACTTCGAACACAGCTAATAACTTCGAATTATTTTTTTCAAAAAAAAAGTATGCGTTCATTGTAGAAAAAGTCATGCACCAATGGAGGGAGATACATTACAAAGTCGTTCAATTATATAATTTTTCTTTTTTTTTTGTAACCTCAAAATTCGAGCTTATATAATTATAATTCACGAGATCACGATATGTATCTTATAATAAGATTGATCAGATGATTGTGGGAGTCGAAACTAGCACAATTCGATTTGCAAGGGTTTCGTGAAAAAACAGAGATTTCTAGGTTAAACTACGAAAGAAACGATGAGTAAAGAGAAATGTTTGTTATTGTTGTATATGCTTTTTGTGAATAAAATTGCGGATCCATTTTACAAAAGTTTGTATATTGATAAATAAAGCTCCCTAAGTCGGCTAGACATATTTCCTAAAGATAATTTTCACTTTTCTAAGTCTTCGCGGATTTCCTTTTCCTTACGTCGGTTATGTCAAAGTAGGTCTCGCCATTGGACCGCGCTTTAGCGCAGGGAACATTTACTCTGGCAGGTCTACGGTGGCTAGTGTCGTCGTTGGCACTGTGTCTTTGCTAGCACTGCACTTCGCTGGCACTGCTCTTCGCTGGCACTGCTCTTCGCTGGC